TGTGTGTGTGTCTGTGTGTGTCTGTGTGTGTTACCCTGGCAGAGCGCTCCATAGTGTAGGCCAGACCTGAGTGAACGATGTCCTTCTCAGATGCTCCCTGCAACCAGAGCACACTGTTACAACACCACAGAAGAAGAAGGAGGAGGAGGAGGAGGAGGAGGAGGAGGAGAATGAAGACATGAATGGAGGGGGGGGGTGTGTGCTCACAGAGATTCTGGTCTGGAACTCGGAGGTGGGGACGATGGGGATGGAGCCTCCATGTTTCCCGAACTTTCTCTCTAAACTCTCCTGAACCGACACTGAAGAGACAAAGTGAATAAGGACCATCAGAGGGACAGGGTTCACTGCAGCCAGCCACCAGGGGGCGTTATATAACCACACTGTGTGATGAAATGTGCTGTCACTCACTGAGCAGGTGGTAGTTGGAGTCTCGCTCGTATTTGAAGGTGAGTCGACCATAACTAACGTGGTTCAGATTCTTCAACCACTCGAAGTACGACACTGTGACACCACCGGCGTTCAAATACATGTCCTGTCAGAGGAGACGAGGAGAGGAGACAAGGAGACGAGCAGAGGCAATGAGACTTCGTAACATCTTAATTAAGTTCCATTGACATTTAGTCTTTTTATCAGGGACTCCATCAGAGTCAGACTCCACTGACCGGGATCACCATGATGTTTCTCTCCAGGAAGATGCGGTCGGCCTCGGGCGTGGTCGGACCGTTGGCTCCTTCTGCAATGACCTGAGCAGAACACAGACTCCAGCTAAGTTTACTGAGGGATGATGGGAAACCAGGACAGACTGGCTAACAGCGGAGACAGTCCCCTGAGTGAACAGCTCACAGAAATCCGGTTTATTTGAACCTTGTGCAGGAACAGGGCTGGATGATGAACCACTCCGGTCAGTCTGTCTGAAACCTTTTCTTACTGAGCGGATGACCAACAACATTTTATACCAAACTATCAGTAAACTTGAGATCCTCACGCCCGGCTCCTCTCCACTCACTCGCAGACTATTCGATGATGTTAAAGTATTTTCCCAGAGTTCCAGAGATCCCAGTGTCTGTGCCCCATCAAGTTCCTCCACACACTGTTCTCTGTGATGAAGATGAACAGAACCCACAGGAGTCGTCTCACTGATGCACACCTTCACTCCATCCTGAGGGTTTCCACAGAACCGAACCCCAAACTTTAATGAACTGGCTACAAAAATAAGTAAAAGAAGAACGTAGCCGACCTCAAAATGTTTTCTTTTTGTCTGTCCTGTTTAATACATGTGGACCCTGTTTGCCTCTCTGTGACTGAGTGGTTGCAGTGGCTGTCCCTCACCAGTAAGGGGTGCTGCAGGCCCTGAGGTCTCTGGGTCATGAATCGATCAATAAGCTGATGGATTCATTGATAACTTGTGCGTCTGCAGTGATTCAAATATTTCTGTATTCAATCATTTTTCCCTTTAATAAAATAACAACGTATACTTAGAATCACACGTTTGAAAAGACTCTTTTGAGCTTTGTTTGGACTTTAGTTCCTGTTTTATTTTGAAGTTTCTTTCCTCATCAGCTTTACTTCCTGTCTTTGTCGGGTTTCTGTGATGTCTGATGTGTTTCACCTGTGTTCAGGTAACTCTGCCTCCTCCTGTTCCTCAGGCTTGTCTCTTCTGTTTGTTTCACCTCCATGTTTCCTGTGTTTACTTTCTAGTCTGGATTTTCTTTGTGCTGCGACCTTCAAACACAAACTGTGAGTCTGTCTTCAGGATTCAGGATTCTGTCCTGCCTTGTTTGATCTGATATAATATGATGTAGTGATACAACGAGAGTCAGCTGGAGGATAAAACTTCATTACACAGAAACAAATCTTCATTTTCAACGTTGTCTCGTCAAAGTTTGAACCTGTCACTTTAAATTCTGCAAATAACGGATTGCGTGCGAGCGTCACCTTGGCTTTGATCTTGTGCGCGTTGCTCTTGGTCAGCTGTTTCTCTCCGGCGGCGGGGATCAGGATGTCGCAGTCGGCCTCCAGGAGACTTCCTTCGTACGGCGTCGAGTTCGGGAAGCCCACGATCGTCCCGTTGTCCTGGAGACGGAGAGGACAACACTTTATCACGTCGTCTCATCGTGGCTGAAAACGTTTGAATGAGACGAGTTTTAACCGCTCGAATCACTGACTCAGTCTGTTCTCCTCCATGACAAGCTCAGAGTTCACACAGGAAAGACAGTACTGACGTAGTTTTAGTACTGACATGTAGTTTTATTACAGACCAGTTTGTAGTTTTAGTACTGACATGTAGTTTTATTACAGACCAGTTAGTAGTTTTATTACTGACATGTAGTTTTATCACAGACCAGTTTGTAGTTTTATTACTGACCAGTCTGTAGTTTTATTACTGACCAGTCTGTAGTTTTATCACAGACATGTCTGTAGTTTTATTACAGACCAGTTTGTAGTTTTATAACTGACATGTAGTTTTATTACTGACCAGTCTGTAGTTTTATTACAGACCAGTTTGTAGTTTTATCACAGACATGTCTGTAGTTTTATTACTGACCAGTCTGTAGTTTTATCACAGACATGTCTGTAGTTTTATTACTGACCAGTCTGTAGTTTTATCACAGACATGTCTGTAGTTTTATTACTGACCAGTTTGTAGTTTTATTACTGACATGTAGTTTTATCACAGACNTACTGACCAGTCTGTAGTTTTATCACAGACATGTCTGTAGTTTTATTACTGACCAGTTTGTAGTTTTATTACTGACATGTAGTTTTATCACAGACCAGTCTGTAGTTTTATCACAGACATGTCTGTAGTTTTAGTACTGACCAGTCTGTAGTTTTATCACAGACATGTCTGTAGTTTTATTACTGACCAGTTTGTAGTCCTCCAGCTCTTTGGGGTCGATGCCATTAGGGTTCCAGATGCTTCCGTCCATTTCTGCGACTCCGACACATTTGGCTCCGAAGCGATGGAGGTAACGCATGGAATGAAGACCCACGTTACCGAAGCCCTGCAGGCAGAGCAGAGGGCACAGTGAACCCTCAGTACTGACAGCACACAGGGAGGTGTGTCCACAGGAGCTGTGTTGGTGGCTCACATCATGTTCCCGATGATACTCTGACATTTTATCTAGCGCCACCATCAGGGCAATATGTTAAACTGTCCATTAAACAGTTCGTGGCGTTAGAATTGATATTTGAATTGTTATATAAATCTGGAACGACTCATCATAATCTATTAATCCTCTTCTTGTGGCAGCTCTACTTTGGTTTATGATAAACTTAATTAAAATGGTAAACTTCATATGTGCTACATATTAGCATGTTAGCATTGATGTTTTATTTCTGATCGGAGGATCCACAGATAAATATCTTCCTGACGCTACAGCAGCTGAGATCTGAGCTCCGGACCCGTGAGTCTGAACATCAATGAACTAAATGTCAAAGTTTGGGTCGTGGGTCATGTGGGATTCATGTTAAAACCTGGAGGAGAACTCGTGGCTTCAGATGAGTCACTGAGGATTCTGATGAAGAGGAGGAGAAGATGGAAAGATTGATAGAGGAAGAATGGAGGGAGCAGGAGGAGACATTTGTTCTGGTCCCTGAAGATGAAGACCAATGTCAGACTGTTTCATAATCTTTATATTTAAACGTTCAAACATATTTGAATCAAAATGGCTTCGTTCTGGAGAAAGAGTCGTCGTATAGTTCATGGTTTTTCTCGATCTAAAAAAGTAACAGTAAATGTATTATATTGAAAATGGTTGTGGACAAAAACAATCAATAATGAAAATAAAAAGCAGTTTATATTATTGCAAAAGCTGCTGAACAGAAACAGTGAAATATCCCTGAAGGACCTGTTGAAAACCTGAGGAGGGTTCGTACCTGGATGACGAAGGTCTTGTCCTGGAAGCCGGGACACATCCCCAGCTGGCTCATGTACGCCGCCTCGTTGATGAAGTTCTCGATGCCGTGGAAAACGCCTCTACCGGTGGCAGAAATGCGACCGTGGATTCCTCCCTGACTGATGGGTTTCCCAGTGACACAGGCGTGAGCATTGATGTCCTGAAGATGGAAGAGATGGAGAGGTGAGGGACATGATGAAGGTTTGTTAGACACAGTTTTCAATCAATCTCAGCTTCTATATATGTCTGGACATTCCGAGTGGAGACTCACCAAGTGTCCCATGGTGGTGGCGAAGGTGTCTGCGATCCAGGACATCTCCCTCTCACCGGTGCTCATGTCTGGGGCAGGAACATCGATACCAGGTCCTGCAGAGCAGAAGACCCATGAACACAACGAACGGCTGAACTACTGAATTTAAGCCTTCAAATCTGAATTAATTAGGAAATTAATTCTGGAGAAAGTGAAACAGACAAAGAATAATGTTTGTATCTGTCTTTCACTCACCGATGAAGCCTTTCTTAGCGAGTTCAATCGTGAACCTCCTGGTGATTTTCTCCAGCTCAGTGTCCTGGGACAAAAAAACCATCACTGATCGTTCTGAACAACTAATGACATCACGGTGACTTGAATGAAAACTGATTGGACATGTGTCGTCTGTTTAAACTGAATCTAATTCCTGGAACATCTTCACGTGAGAAAGTCAGAGGTTAAAGGTCAGAGGTCAGCAGGACGGATGTGTTTTGCTGCAGAGAAAATGAGACGGAGCAAAGGTCGAGCAAACATTTACCCAGAATTCAACCAGAGACTGAGAGAGAGCTGAAATCACTGTGAACAGAGAGAGAGAGAAATGTATCGAGTCATCATGTTGGAGAAAGAGAATACCGGTGTGTGTCGGTCAGCTGATGGCTCAGCAGATTGTGTGTGTGTGTGTGTGTGNTGATTTGCCTAACAAAATAAAACTGTATGGTCTTTTTCTGTGTTGAGGTGTGGAACGTAGTGTGTTCCCACAGGATGCAGGTGTGGATGCATGTACAGAGTGTGTGTATGTGTGTCTTTGTGTGTCTGTGTGTGTCTGTGTGTGTCTGTGTTTGTGTGTGTGTGTGTGTGTGTGTGTGTGTGTGTGTGTGTGTGAGAGAGTTTGTTTACTGGTATGAAAACTTGTATTTTACAGAATAAACTATGTTCATATCAAAACTTTGTTTCTTGTCTTAATTCAAGTTCTATATATTTGGTTGTTTGTGTGTTTAACTATAATTAAGTTTATTGTTAAACTGTAAAACATCAAACCTCAAAATACGTCTTTGTTATTGAAGTTTGATATCATCAGACAAATATCAGCCGATATATCATCATCATGTCTTTGTTGGCCTTTACATGGGTCAGACTGTAATTGTCCATATTTCTATATGTGCAACAAGTATTTCTATAGTACGTGGTGCTTTCCCTAACTTTGACCAGCAGAGGTCCCCATCAAGCTTATATTTGAAAAGTTTCTGAATATTCATTCGTAATATTGTTTGTGATAGAGACGTTGTGCTTCCATTGATTCATGTGAAGAAGAAACTTCTGCACACACTGTGATTTAAACATGTCTTCCTAACCCTAACCCTATCAGAGTGAGCTCAGCTCCTCTGCATCGGGATCTGAAGAGAGTGAATAAAGAGACAGAGTCTGAACTCACAGAATAATGCTTTGGGTTGATCTTCACTCCGGCTTTGGCTCCACCAAACGGAACATCTGCAACAAATTCACTGCATTTAAAACAGAGCAAACACAGTGTGTGTGTGTGTGTGTGTGTGTGTGTGTGTGTGTGTGTGTGTGTGTGTGTGTGTGTGTGTGTGTGTGTACTCACCGACGACAGCACATTTGTAGGTCATCAGCGAGGCCAGAGCTTTCACCTCGTCTACAGACACGTCTGTACTGTACCGAATACCTGAAACACCAACAACAGCGTTTCATTTGATCTGGAAGTTTGACTGAAGAACTTTGTCTGACTGCGTCCACCTGTACTCGACTCTGATGGTTTGTAGACGGCCTGTTGTCAGTTGGGGGGGGGGGGATTAGACTTTCTGTTTGAATGGAGGAAAGTTAGTAGTAGTCATGGTAACATCATGATGGTATTACTAACACGATCAGCACCTTCAGGCACAGTACCACAGTACTATAATACTCCACAGTCCTCCACAGTACTACAATACTCCACAGTACCCTACAGTACCCTACAGTACTCCACAGTACTACAATACTCCACAGTACCCTACAGTACCCTACAGTACTCCACAGTACTACAATACTCCACAGTACCCTACAGTACTCCACAGTACTACAATACTACACAGTACAACAATACCCCACACTAGTTCAAATACACCAGATTAACGTCCTTGTGGTTCAAACATTATATCGTCTGAGGTAAAGCCTCTTCTTCTTCTTCTATGGTTTAATGTGTCTCTACTTCCTGTGATTGGTTGAACTAAGTGTTTTCACTGAACCAACAGAACCAGGATCAGTTTGATCCAGACCCAGAACTCCTCCTCTGGTCTGAGGAACGTTCACAGCTGAAGTTCAGCTTCAGAGTCTGAAACAAACGAGGAGTGAACGAGTCCTGAGACACATGTTGGTAACTGTGGACTGTTCTTAGACACATACGAGCTTTGTACTGATGTGTTTTATGAAGACAACATAAAATGTCTCCAGCTCATGTTGGCATCTTTTCATATCGACTTGAGGATGAAGGAACACAAGATGCAACATATTTCATGAAGTCTCAGTAAAGCTGCCTCTGTGTGTGTCTGCATGTTGAGTTAACACACGGAGGCCTTTCACACTGATCACTGTACATGCAGTCCGCTGCAGGGAAACCAAACGGCTGCAGGTCGGACAACGAGAGCAAAAACACTCCAACTTTTCTTTTTCTGTTTCACTGAGAGTCTAAATCCTGATTATTTTAGATTGAGAGCAGAGAAAAGATGAATGAGGGTTAGGGAAAGAAGGGAACAGATAAAAGATGAGAAAGTAGAAATCAGTAGAAACCATCAGGAATAAGAGGAGGAGTAAAGACGAGTGGACAGAGTCCGAGGACGCAGTCAGAGAAGTGTGAGAAGAGACGCTGAGTCAGTGTGGGTGTAGTCAGCTCCTCGGTTAAAGGAGCAGTACAAACAGTTTCACATTCCATCTCAATGGATTTTAATGAGTTTACTTTGTCTCAATGATTCATAACAACCACACCCGTCACCTCCTCACCAGGTCTCATATGAACCTCCTGGTTTCAAGATCAACAACATCTAGAGAAAACTCAGGCCTCCGTCCAGACTTATATCACTGAGGTCTCCTTCAGCGCCCCCTGGTGGGAAGGTTAGAAGAAGCTGGGCAATGACGGAGATTACGTTCACACTCGAATGTTTGTTTAGAAACAAAATCATACTCCATATTAGAAAACATGTCACATGACCGTTCACCTACAATGGTCATGTGATGTAAACAGGAAGTAGAGTGTCTCTGCAGTTGGTTGCTTAGCAACAGAACCTCCTCTGAAGGAGGAGCAGTGATGGTGAAGAGTCAGAGCAGGGACGAGGTGGAGCTGTTCCTGACAGGAAGTGTTAGCGGCGCTTTGTGTTCACCGCTGGTAGTCGAGTCATGTGACTGATGAGAACCAATCAGAAGAGAGCGTGGGCGTCACCGTGTACTAAAGTCTCAGTTTGTTTTCAGACTAAAATATAAAACCAGAGTTTTCAAACTGAAACGAGAGCAGCAGTGTTTACATCAGGCGTAACCATAGCAACAGAGAAACGTGTCGGGGGGGATGTAGCCGGTGGCCAGAAAAATCCGTGTATGTCCAGTTTATCCGTCTGTTTGGTTGGACACTTGACTGCACGGTGAAAATATAACTGGTTCTACAGGATCTGCTGGAGTGAGTAGAAGTCAGAGGAGGCGTCGCCTCTGAGAGATTAAACAGGTTTGTCTATAAGCTGCTGCAGGAAGTCCTGCTTCTCCTCACGTGGAAAAGAAAACATGTCTTCTGTCGAAAACACACGTCAATGATTTCTTTGGAAAAGGTTCTAATAGATCACATGAACTCGGACTGATTAAGATCGTCACATGCATCGGATGCTTCCACTCCCACATCGATCATCATCAATGTCAAACTGGTGCAGTTCAGAAGAGCTGAAAGTTCCCAGCCACAAGTTTCACATCAAACTGATCAAACTGATGGCTCTGAGGGAGTTTATCCAACATGGCGGCTCCGCACATCAACAGGGATGAAAGGTGTGTTTGACACGGAACTGTTTCAACTCTTAACAACTCTGACACACTACTATAAAAACTAGTTGTGTAATGACAGTAACAAGAGAGAGCAGGAGATCTAAAAACTAATGTGTGTGTGTCCTCCTCACACATGCTGCATCATGTCCACAGACCAAACAGAGCTGTGGACACACTGTAGGACAGACACATCCAACACGATAGAGTCCTGACTGTACAGCAACAAGACAAACACACACCGACCAGACTGTCAACATTCCTGTCAGAGGAGGAAACTTCTCCACCGAACCTCCTGCTCCTTAAACATTACACACACACACACACACAC